CTGTTCTAATACACTTCGAGGTTCTCCTTCCTTAAAAAACAAACCCCAAAGTCCGTGCTGTTTCATTTCCCTCATGGAATGTATTAATGTCTGAAATTATCTTGGAGTTTTATTTGTTTACTAATTTACTTTCTGGCTCCCCCTTCTAGACTCTAAGCTCGGAAGACTTTATCCTGTTCACCATACCCCCAGTTTGTAAAACCATAAACCATACCTGGCACAGGATGAGTGCTGTGTCGGTTGCCTATGGCTGCTGTAACACATTGCCACAAGTCCAGTGGCTTAAAACAACACAAATTTATTATCTTACAATTCTGGAGGTCAGAAGTCCGAAATCAAGGTGTCAGCAGGGCTGGTTCCTTCTGGAAGCTCTAGGGGAGGATCCATTCTCTTGCCTTTTCCAGCTTCCAGAGGCTGCTGCGTTCCTTGGCTGTTGGCACCTTCCCATCCTCAAAGCCAGCAATCGTCACATCTCCTTCCCTAACTCTGACCCTCTTGCCTCCCTCTTTCCCCTATAAGGACCCTTATGACTACATCAGGCCCACCGGGATGATCCAGGGTCCCTCCCCATCTCAAGATCCTTACCTTAATCACATCTGCAAAATCTCTTTTTGCCTGTTAGGTAACACACAGGTTCCAGGAATTAGGATGTGGATATATTTGCAGGGGAAAGGGGCATTCTTCTGCTCAACAAAATATTGATTGAATAACTGCATGAGTGACAGAAGGAATGAAGAGCGTACTATTATCACCACCTTCCAGGCCACTGCGGCCCTTCCCTGAGCTTAAAAGGGTGGATGCTCATTGTTTCCTTTGCTTTTCCCAGACAGAGGTAGGAGGCATGGACAGTATAGGATGGGTGATCTCCATGGATCTGGAGGGGAGTCTGGACTAGAAGCATCCAGGTTGTTCCTGTTTGTGGTTCAAGTCCCAACTCAGTCACTTATTAGCTATAGACAATTGCTTATTGCTCTAAGCCTCAGTGTTCCCATCTGTGAAATGGGGATGAAATTGGCTGTCATTTATTAAGCCCTAGCTCAATATTCAGCCTCTGAATTAAAAACCCCTGGCCTATAATTGCAGTGTGTAATTGAGCAAATGGCATAACTTTTTGATTTCCTTGTTGGTGAAACAGCGCTAATCATAGCCGCTACATTACATGCATCCATACACTGCAGTGAATGGATTAAATGAGATAATATATGTAAAAGTCTTATTTGGCAATAGTGCTGGGCACAAGGTAACACTCAACAAAAAGCAAATCTATTATTATTTTTCTTATTTCTTATTTTCTTATTATTCTTACTTTTTTTCCTCCTATTCTTTTTCCTCCTCTTCCTTCATCCTGTCACCTAGATTTTACCTGTTGTCATATGTGAAATATTTTTAAATGTTTTTCCCTTGCCTGGCTCCTCTGTTAGCCCGAGTTCCATCTCCCAGGTCAGAGCCTGCGTTTTTCATTAAAGCTCTACACAGCGGGAATGCTTTATGAATACCAGTTGCTTCCGTCGAGGCTCCTGTTTGTCTATCTGGGTAGCAAGCTGGTTTCCAAGACCAGGGCTCCTGCTCTATTCCCTTCTATATGGAGGCACTTTTGAGAGGACATCGACAGCCGGACCTATAGAAGAGGAGAAGAGCCCTCCTTTCCTCCGACACTTTTCCTTTCCATGCACTGGAAATAAAATATGCAAGAAGAAATGTCTCATTTTACCCCTGGGACCAAAGGCACTGGGGATGCATACAATTCAGCCTCCTGTCTGCATGACTTGTTATCAGAAAATTAGAGTAGAAAAGAAGCTTTTGTTCAGCCATGGAGACATCTTAATAGGCGCTTAGATTGTTAAACAGAAGTTTCTGTATCAGTTTAATTGCTGTAAATGCTGTTTGCCTTCTCTGTTATGATAAAGCTTGGATTTTCATAGATTTTCCCCCCTTCCCTTTAAACAGTTTTCCTTTGCTTGAAGGCTTGCGCTGGCAAATTTAATGAAATCCAAACGAAGAAAGTAAAGAGAGGATCTCAAAGTTCAGATCTTCACACCCACGTATGAAGCTGTGCAGAGGTTATTATTGCTTGAGACTGATGATCCTGCAGCCGCTTAATGTAATTGACAGCACTCACCCCTGCCACCAGATATTGGGAAATGAATCCAAACTACTAAACTTAATTACTTCTACTTTTTTGAGAAGGTGCTGTAATTGAGAATAACAGAATAACTAGGATATGAATCTAACAGTGAGATGTGCTTATAATAAAAGAAGATTTGTTTTCTGCTGACTTGAGTTTCAGAAGTACCATCTCAGGGCTTTTTGTGGGAGGATGAGGGTGGGGAGGTGGCTAGAGGAATGGAAACATCTAGACCAGGGATTCTCAACCTTGGCACTATAGATATTTGGAGCTGGGGGTATAGATATTTCTTTGATGTAGGGGTCTGTCCTGTGATTGTAGGATGTTGAGCAGCATCCCTAGCCTCTACCCATTAGATACCAGTAGGATCACCCACCCACCCCAGCGTGACAACCAAAAATGTCTCTAGACATTGCCAAATGTCCCTGGGGGGCAAAATGCTCCTGGTTGAGAACACAGGTGCAGGGGCTTTTGCAGAACTTGCAAACAATTGCAGTTACTCGTTGAGGTTCTGCTAACGCTTGGCTGTGTGACCTTTAGCAACTCACTGCACCTCTCTGAGCTCCTGTGTGTTCCTTTGTACAGTGGGAATAATAATGAGAACACTGACTGCAGAGAGACAGAGCTTCCAGGTCTAAACTGCACAGCATAATGCCTAACACATCTTGAGTGATTGATAAACTCAGTGTTTCTATTATAATAATCTTGGATTCAGCAAACGTGTATTAAGTACTTACTTCGCCCAGGCACTATGCTATGAGGCAGTGATGCAAAGATGAAGATGTGTTCCCTGTCCATGTAGGAGTGGCAAATATATGCAGACTTGTTGGTACTACCTTATTCTTCACCCATGGCAGACATTGCTAATCAATCTTGGTGCTCTTTCCTATTGAGCCTCAGAATCCTTCTCAACGCACCTTTCTAGACAGCCACTACTAATGAAACCTTTTGGCACCCCTGGTTTGGTAGATTCTCCATGAGGAGGCTGTGCGTCTGAGCTCACCCTTCCTCTCCAGCACAGCCGTCCCACCCCCCGCACTGGAGAAAGCATTTTAAGGAGTTAGCAGGTAACATCCTTCCTTCCGAATCTGACTTCTTCATTCCCCAAAGGAGATAAGAATGGAAAGAATCCTCTTTCTCTCTCTTTTAAATTTTTTTTCTTGTCTTTTTTGTTTCCTCAGAAACTGAAACAAGTAATAAAATGGGCTTGGATTTGATGACATTTAGTTTTTAGTTAAACTAGAGGAAAGTCCACTGGCTACAATTCTGATTTATATATCGTGCTCTCTCCCTCTTGATTTTTCTCTGCCCTGTGGGGCTTGGGAAATCATTAGCTCTCCCTGAAAGGGTCCCAGCTTTTCAAGGGCAGAACTGGGGTTTCTGGAAGCAGCTTTCACATGGCTGCGGACAGTGTCATTAGAGAGAAGAGAGGAGTGAATGGGTTGGGGGTTAAATGCTCCCTGATGGGGTCAGACATGCCCAGCTCCCCAGTGAGCGTACCACTCCATAACAATTGCTGTGAAAAATGCGGTGTGCGTTTGCAGTTCCGCATACAGGGGGCTGGCTCCATCCGTCTGGCCTGAGAAATGAGAGCTGGCGTGTGGGTCAGCCACTTGCTTCTTCTCTCCCTAGCTGGTGGAGATTTCACAGGCAGCACTAGTTCATTTCTGCTGTTGTTTCACACCTCTCTGGGGCCTTCGAGGTCTGTGAGGAGGGTGGTGCAGGCTGCTGGGCAGTAGAGTGAAGTTAGGGGCCAGTGCTCACAGTCTGCAGCAGAAGTCCTGGAACTCAGTCACAGGTGGAATGATAGTACAAGTGGCTGGGACTTAGTCTAAGGTATGGAAGAAAAGACCAGATGGGGACAGGCACCTAGTCTGAATTCTGTGTGGTTATTCCTTCCTCATTCCCATTCATCCAGCAATCTATCCATCCATTCGTCTATCCATCCATACGTCCACCCACCTACCAGCCCTTCCACACACCTACCCATCCATCCATCCATCCATCCATCCATCCATCCACCCACCCACCCATCCATCCACCCACCCTTCTACCCATCCATCTACCAATCCATCCACCCATCTAGCCATCTGTCCATCCACCCACCCAGCCAACCACTCATCCATCCACTCATCAATCCACCCACTTATTCTAGCATGAGTTTAGGTGGTACCTGATTGGATGTATTTTAGTTACCTACAGTATACAGAAAGCAATACTGGTTTTCCATATAGAGTTTGCTTTTAAAATAAATGTATTTAAACAAAAAAAAAGAAGTCAACCTAAAATATTAAGTAGATAACGTTATGGGTTGTGCAGCGGCATGACAAAGGTTAGGAAGTGGTATTTGTATGACTGGCATTTGGAATCTGCCGCATTAGAACTTTGCATGCAAGGGTCCATGCTCTACGGTCCCTCAAGCCTGGAGTCACGGCTGCTATGCAGTCTACAAGGCGTATGTGCTTGAGCAAATGACTTCCTCTCTCCAAGCCTCAGTTTCCTCCTCTGTAAGGCTGGGATGCTAACAACCCTATCCTCAGGGTTGTTTTGAGGACGTAAGGAGCTAAGGCGTGTGAGTCACTTAGCACGTGCCTGGCACACACTCTGTAGATGGAAGTGATGCTCCATGTTTTTCTTTGCACAGCTAACTTCTTTCACGGCACTCCCTGGCTGCCCCGCCCAGGGGACCTTGCCTGGGTTAAGATAAAAGAAGTTGAACCAGCATTTTGCTTGGCTTTGCTTTAGCAAGTGTCGGTGGTCAGTGTCCTTCCTGAGGCCAGCGAGCCTCCCTCTTCCTTCCAGGCCTTGGCCGGAGCCCACCCCAGCCTCTGTCCCTCTGTGTAACAGGCTCTTCTCCTCCTCTCTTCTCTCCCTGCAGACACACTGTCAGTGCCACGCTGGTCCCCGCAGATCCCTCGCCGAGACCTTGGCAACTCCATCAAGCACAGGTAGGCTGGATTCCTGTGTGCACTGGGACCCATCTGCCAGCACAGTGAGGGCCGGGGGCTCTCACCCCTGGGGTGGGGAAAGGCTGGGCAGAGTGTTTTGCCCCAGCTCCTATGTCACCATGCTCTCTCCTCTGCCAGGTTGAACCTCGATTTGGCAGGGGACTGAGATCTCTGTTTCTTATTAACCTGGCCCTTGTAAAATTAGCACATAGTGGATAAAAGCCAGGGCCTAGGAGTCAGACTGACCTGTGTCCCAATCCCAGGTAGTAAAGCTTTGCAACCTTGAGGGAGTTACTTAACCTCTCTGAGGCTCAATTTTCTCATCAAATAATTCTGCCTAGTCATAGCATGAGGATTAAATGAGATAATATATTAAAGTGTTGAGCAAAGGACCTGGCCCATAATAACCACACAATAAACAGCATCATTGTTAAGACAAATGCTTTATGTCCTAATTTTGGGTCTCCCCACCCAGAAGATACAAGATTGCAAGCTGAACTCAGAGATGCGCACTTTCTGATGAGGTGGAGGGCAGTCCAGAGCTCCAGCCCGGTTGGGTGCACGGGACAACCTCTTCAGGGGTACACCTGCCCTTTTCAGGAGGGAGATTTGTGTCTACTAGTCATCCCTTATAAGAAGTTCTTTAACTCTCCAAATTTAACTTTCCACATTTTGTCTCATTATCCTCACAAACTCAGTGGGGTAAGTAGCGCAAGTGTGGTCATGTCCATTTGACAGATAGGGAAACTGAGGCCCTGGCTGATTAAGTGATGGCTCTACAAGCTAATTAACTTCAGCACTTTTGACGCTACTGCTGAGAGTTTTCTCTGCACCGAGGCCCCTGTGAACTAGCTGAGGGACTTGCTCACTCGTTCATGGATTCTTCCCACTGGTGTTGGTAGAGCATTTCTGTGCAGGGCTGCAGCACTGAGCCAGACGCGAGGCCTGCGCCCTTGGGAGCTTGTGGTCTAGTGGAGGGTTAACAGACCCTGACGGTACGGAGGGAGCAGGGCTGTTACAGGGGCAACACCAGCGGCAGCAGCCACATCACCGTAGCCGGGGGCAAGGCAGCAATGAGCACACGCTCCCAGAATGGCATCTTGTCAACAGTTTTTGAAAGAAAGATGTTGACAGGATAGTTGTTAAGCCTCAAATGAGAAAACGGCGGACAAAGCAGTGAGAAATACGCGATAGACACGTCAGTGGTCAGGCGGTGAGATACAGGGACAAAGGCATCAAAGAGAAGGGCCTTTTTTTGTTTGCTTCTGCACTGCCTCCCGGATCAGCTCCACTCCTGGATGGGCCCCGCCCCTGGCTTAGCTCCACCTCTGGGTTGGCCACACCTCTGGCACAGCTCCACCCCCTGGCTCGGCTCCACCCCCATTGGCCACACCCCTGGCTCAGGTCCACCCCCAGCTCAGCTACACTCTTGGATTGGCCCAGCCCCTGCCTCAGCCCCGCCCCCAGATGGGCCACACCCCTGCCTCAGCCCCGCCCCCAGGCTCTCTCGCGCTCTGATGTCAGACCTGGTGGTACCTCAGATTTAAATGCTGATGCCCAGAGGAAGGAAACGACCTGATGATCTTGGGCATCAGGAACATCTTCTTAGACAGGCTGGGACTTGGGGTGCCCCATAACTCTTCAGGCTTACCCTGTGTTTCTCTCCGGGCTCAATGCCAGCGGGGAGAGACCTGGACTCATCCCAGCCTTGGTGAAGAAATGAAATTAAAATCCCATCCCGTCCGCTGTCCTCAGAGTCACCTCAGCCAAAGTTTGGGAAGAGGGAGAGCTGAGCCCGGGGACGGGAAAGAGCTGGAAAGGAGGGAGAACTTTCACCTACCACTCCCGCTGCCTGGATTCCTGCATTGCTGGCTGGTCGGTGGATCACAAGCCGGTTTGCCACCCCCCAGAGCTGCCGGATTCTGCAAAACAGACTCTGCCAAACTCGCTGGCCCTGCTGAAGGGGCAGAAAGGGGCTTAACCCAACCCGTCGTCCAAAACTGGAGGGGGAGTTTTCTTAGTAACAAGTGTCTCTGTTCAGAATGTTGTTATTCGCTCAGACATGAAGGCTTCCTGCTGCGGCTCATTCTGTTTGGAGAGTGACTGACCCGAATCAGGCAAGATGGTACAGCAGAGGGATGCCGCCTTGCCCTCAAAATTCTCAGGCACCCAGTTACATAATCACTTCCGATTTTCATTTTGACACTCTGAGGCGGCGGAGATTAGATACAACTCCTGCTGAAGGTGACAGAAATTGAAAATGAAAATTAACTCTGACCCGGCAACCTTCAGTCCTTTCCTGGGCCCAGCCCGGTATCTCTTGGGGAAGAAAGCACCCGGCACCAGTGGGGGGCCTGGGAAGTTAATCTAATGCACCTCTGTTCCCGCTGGTTCCTAGCTGTGTATTGGAGGCCTTCAAACTGCCTTTGTTTGCAGCAAATGGTGGTGGTTGGGGAGGGAGGTGAGCTGATGGTCCGGAAAAGCTTCCACTTTAGTGGACTCTGCTACTGAAGTTTCGGGTCTCAGCTTCCAGGTGACGTGATGGGGAAGGGCTCAGCCGGACTCCCTGGAGGTCCCGCCTTGCTTTGCGGTTCTCTGAGGACAGTTCCAGCCCCATCCATTGCTCTGTCCCGGAACTGAACTTGGCACACAGTAGGCCACCAGCAATATTTGTTGAATGAATGAATGAGTGTCATGAATGTTCAGGTAATAATATACTCACACCCCAGTTCAGTGGGCGCTTACTATGTGCCAGGTGCTGTGTGAAGCCATTGACATGCCTGTGGCTTCGTTTAACTCTCCCAACAGCCTATGAGGTGGGTACTGTTATTATTCCCACTTTACAGATGAGGAGACAGAGGCTGCAGTGGGTTAAGCAGCTTGATTAAGTCACGTATCTTGGAAGAAGCAGAACTGGAATCCGGGTCTGTGTCCTTACCCTTTAGGTGGGTAAGGACACTTTAAGTTCATCCGTCTAGAGATAGGTCAGTTACCATCGCCTTGCCCTTGAACATTTTCTGTCTCTTTTCCACAGGTTTTCCACCAAGTACTGGATGTCTCAGACGTGCACAGTCTGTGGGAAAGGGATGCTTTTTGGCCTCAAGTGTAAAAACTGCAAGTAAGTGGCTGTTCCTGGAAGCGACTTTTCATGGTGCCTGTCGTAGGCTAGAGCCATCCTGGGCTCTGCAATAGCTTGTGGGGGTCTGGTTTCTTGACTCTCAGGAGAGTCGCTTGCTCTGTTTTTCAGATATGTGTCTTAAATGAGCCCCTACATTTGGGTAAGGGGTCGAGGGCGGCAATTCTGAATAAGAACCAGAGCTGATGGATAATGCTGGAAAAGCATAATGCTGTCTGCAGAGGCACAGTCGTATCTTGCATTCTCAGAGCATCTAAGGTCAGGGGTTGGTACTCAAGTCAGCCAGATAGTAAATATTTTAGGCTTTGTGGGCCATAGGGTCTCTGCCATGTAGCTCAAAAGCAGCCATCAGCAATACATAAACAAATAGGCATGAGAAATTTATTTACTCCAATAAAATCTTATTTACAAAAGTAGGCTGCGGGCTGGCTTTGCCCCTCAGCTGCAGTTTGCCCGTCCCTAAGTTAGAGTTTGCAAAGTCCTTTATTTTTCCTCCTCACGGTACCTCTCTGAGGGGGTCTGATTCTCCTCATTTTACAGATGGGAAAGCTGAGTCTCAGCAAGGCTAAGTCACCTGCCCGAGGTCACACAGCTAGGAAGTGGCAGTCAGGACTCGCACCCTGAGCCCCTAACTCCTGCCCTTTCTGTGGCATCATGTTGATCTCGAGTTCTGGTGAGAAGGCCAGACCACACAAGCCCCCCATGTCCTCCCGCTTCCACACACCCCTTCCAGGTCATGGCTGGCAAAAGGTAGGGAGGCAGGAGAAAACTGTGACACCCCACGTGGGCTCTGGAGTCAGACTAAGATGGGTTCACAGCCTACCTCTGCCCTTTCTAGCTGTGTGACCTTGGGCAAGTCACCTCACACTTCTGTTCCTAGTATTTTCATCTGCATGGGAGGAATAATCGTCATGCCCGCCTGATGTGGGGGTGAGCGTTCAGTAAACCAGCACTAAAGGACACAGCATGGTGCCGGGCTCAGAGTTCTGTCCTCCATCAAAGGTTGCAAATGCCTTTCTGTGTGGCCTCCCATTCTCCTTCCATAAACCTGTATTAAATACCCGCACCGGTCCCATTACCGTAAAATAGTCAATAACTTTCAACTGTATCTAAGAGTTACAAATGAATGTGCACATGTGTGCTTTACAGGAAACAACTCTTTTAGTTTAAAAGAGAGCAGGAATCTTTCTTTCCCCTTTAGCCTTGCTTTTCTTTGTCCAGCCCAGGCTGGGAACCCTCATCTGGGCTCCTCAGGCCTCCCCACATCCCCGCCCCATGGTGGAGGTGGGATAGGGGCGAGGGCTCGCTCTCCCTCCCAGCCAGGATGTCTCACCTGAGTGATGAAGGTAAGGCTGAGCTCCCTTCCCTCCTGGAGATGTGGAGGATTAATTAGTTCCAGCCCCTGAGGAGTCTTAAGCTCCATGGCACAAGGCAAGGCAGGGGCAGTAATTACTAAGCATCAGTTTGGAGGCCTACATCCTCACCTTGGTCTTCCATAGACCCAGGCTCTTAGGTGAGCCCCCAGGATGGCGGCCCCTGGTCTTTCTGACTCCGAGAGGCACAAGGCCAGGCCCTCAGGTCCAGCTTGCAGGCCGATTTCCCCGTACCCCAGCTGCTCTGTGAGTAGTCACGCCATGTTCGGTGGGGGAAGTGGCAGCTTTCGCATCCTCTCACCTGCAGAGTGGAGGCTTTGAAGTCAGGTAATTAGGTGCCAAGGACGCAGCCAGGAGTCAGCGAGGCTGAACACTTCCCGAGCTCTTTTAATTTCCAGTACTAGAGGGAGAACTCTGAGGCGGCCTTCGCTCCTGCTCTCTGTTCTAGAAGTAACGAGCAAAGGCTCAGACCCTGCCAAGGGTTGGCGGAGGAGGTGGGGGGAGAAGTGGGGCCTTGGGGGATAGCGGTGCCTGCAAGAAACGCAGCCTCCAGAAGCGGCCAGAACTGAGTTTGAGTCCCAGCTCTATTGCTGAACTCCCTGTGTGAGCTTGAGCAGGGGACTTGCCACCTCAGGGCTCAGTTTGCTTTTCTGCAAAGTGGGCATGATGCTAGCGCCCACTGGAGGGCTGTTGGAAGAGTCAATGAAATGTCCTTGCCCCGGAATATGATGTTTCAGCAAAGGACCTTCCTGCTCACTCCACCTTGTGCAAAAATGGCCCCTGGTATATAAGGGGCAGAATTCCAACCTTGCCGTGATCAGGCGGCACCGCTGATCTTGCCCATTTGCTCAGCCCTTGGAGAAACTGGCAAAATGGTGAAAGCAGGCTCTGGAGCTGCTACAAAGCTCCCCCATGCTTCAGGAATTTTGACGTTGTATTTGGGTAACTACAACAGAGTTTAGAGCTATCTCCAGTACATAATTATGAGTGTGCGTTACTGATAGCACCAGCTGAAGTTTGGACTTACTCTCCTATGAACAAAATCCTGCAGTTTTTGCATTAATTATTGTGAGGATAGACGGTCGTTTATATGTGTTTTCAAAGATGAGCAAAATTTTGGATGCACTTATGGGCTGATAGAAATGTCGGATGAAGGGCAGAACGGGGTAACACACACAGACCCCACTGTCAAGGTGTTTAGTGGAAGACACACCTATAGAGAAGTGAATTTCAGGGGCTCTGAAGTGCATGCCTAAAGAGCCACGACAGGTGCAATTTCAGAGGCGGCACCAAGAACGGGGAGGCAGCTTCTTAGAAAAAATGGGTGGAACCATTTGTTCATTTACTCAACTAATGCTTATTGAGTACCTACTATGCGCCAGGGACTGTTCTAGGCACAGGGGAAATGATAATGAATGAAATGCAAAATCCCTGCCCACGTGGCACTTGATGCTGGTGGTGGAGGGGGAACAGACAGTAAACAAAGGAAATTAGTACAACAGATCAACTGTTCAGATGACGCTAAGTGCTAAGGAGAAAGAGAAAGCAGAGAGGGGAGATAGGAAGGGCCAGGGAAGGGGCTGCAATTTTAATTAAAGTTCTTAGGGCAGATCTCCTACCCTAGTGGGAACTTGGGAAAAATAGTAGTGTGTGGCGCAAGTCATTTTCTGTTCTCTTAAAACACCCAGAGGTGCGGGTTAGAATCTGCTCTGAAGGCAATGATTTTTTTTTTTTTTAACCTGGAGCAGTCCTGGTTCTCTTCCTAGAAACTTCCCGGGTGATGAGGATTGGATTAGACCCATGCTGTTCCACGTGTGGTCCCTGGACCAGCCGCACCAGCAGCACCGGGAGCTGGTTAGAAATGCAGAGTCTCAGGCCCCTAATAACTTCCCGGGTGGTGCTAGGCTGCAGATCCTGGGACCACCTTTTGAGAACCACCGCTCTACATAAAAGTAGTCATTTGACAAAATCAAACTTTATTTTCCAGCCTGACATTTCAACATGTGAGATTTTTTTTTAAAGGATGGTCAGTCTTTTCGCATTATTTTTCAGGCTCTTCTGCTGTTAGATCCCTTGGCCTCACTGTGTAGACTTGAGTCTTGTTCATCATCGTCTCTCCAGTAAATTCATCCAGTAAATATTTGTGTGATGAGTCAACAAGATAAGGCATAGTTAGGAACCCAGGCCGTAGGTCAGACACACACCTATATTTGAATCCTGACTCTGCCACTAACTGGTTGGTGACCACTTCTGAGCCCCAGTTTCTTCCTCTGTAGAAAGGGGAAAATAATATCTACCTCACTAGATTATTTAAAAAAAACAGCTGTCAGAGAAATAAGGCAAAATGCCCAGCCTTGTACCTGGCCCATGATAAGAGCTTAATAAACGAAAGCTAATACTGTTACTAGCTTTATAAATTAATTTCGGGGTACCCCGCACCCAGGAAATCAGGATACTTCTGCATGTCTATCCTCTTTCTTTCCTGCTTTGATTTAATACCCACTTCCTCCGGATGCTCATCAGCTGTCTTGTTGGCGTTCTGAATAGAGAGATTAATGAACTAATAGGAAATTGTGCTCAGAAAGCAATTCGCGGTTATCTAAATTGAGGCGTTTTCATCTAATAGGTTCATGAGCGCGGAATGGAGTTTAGTTCTAAGTGGGCGGATGTCAGCACAATCCACGTATTGTCTGATAACTGTGGATTCAGCTGGCCAAAGTTTGCTTTCGCAGGAAGATGCGGATGGATATCCCAGGCCTCGATGGCGTGTTACCTGTATCCTCCCTCCTTCTCAGGGTCCTTCCCAGGTTTCTGCAGAGCTGAGGTCTCCTTGGAAACCTCTCCATTCCTATCTGTGCTTCTTGCAGGAAGTGCACGACAGTGATTAGGGTGGCTTGTGCTCTAGAAAACGAGTTTGAACCAAGATGCTTTTTTTTCTGCATGGGCTGGAGTATGGAAGGGAGTGGGGGTCATTTTCCAAGACCACCAGTGGAGAAGTAGCATTTTAACTCTCTTGTGCGTGTTTTAGCTGCTCCGTGCTCCTCTTTTGTAGACTGTGCTCTGGTTCTGGTTAGGTCAGCAGAGCCATCTGTGCATCTGCCATTTGGGGGAGTCTGTGCCACCATTTAGGGTACAAGGGTGAAAAAGACGGTTGCTGTCCTCCAGTTGCTGGCAGTCACCAACCAGTTCTCAAGGCTGCCCTGACCCCACCTTGGGATCATGGTGGGAGCTTAAAATTACAGCTTCTGAGCCATTCCCAAGACTTCCTGGCCCAAACTCTGGGGACAAGGCCTAGAAATCTGCATTTTTTTTTTTTTTTTTGGTGAGGGAGATCAGCCCTGAGCTAACATCCGATGCTGATCCTCCTCTTTTTTTTTTGCTGAGGAAGAACGGCCCCGAGCTAACATCTACCAATCCTCCTCTTTTTGCTGAGGAAGACTGACCCTGGGCTAACATCCATGCCCATCTTCCTCCACTTTATATGGGACGCCGCCACAGCATGGCTTGACAAGCGGTGTGTCGGTGCGCGCCCGGGATCCGAACCCGCGAACCCCGGGCCGCCGCAGCAGAGCGCGCGCACTTACCTGCTTGAGCCACGGGGCCGGCCCC